AATATTTTGAATATAGAAGAGCCACGGCAATGTTTACTTTCTCAAGGCGGTCTGCTTATCTTACTAACTTTCCTTTGGGTAACTGTTGTAATGGATTCGGATTTCGAAAATTCCAAAATATTGAATATCTTCTTGCTTTGAGGCATTATTTGTTCTATGCTTTTAGGTCCAGGACTCAATGCTATTTTACTGTTTCTGATAGAATTCTCTGTATGTGTACGTTAGTAACTTTGATTCTGTTTGTTTGTGGACGTATTATTATTCCGCTGAAATCTGATATGGAATATTCCATTTCAATTAAAAAGGGCTCCCGGTTTTCCACACTGACCATACGAAACACAGCAGTATTAAGCTGCTTCTGTGACAGCGTGGTGCTAACACGGTTGTGCTGACCCTTTCGTGCTACAACCATAATATAGCTGCAGCGTAGCTCTACCACGTATGAAATATTATGAACATTTATAAGCAAATCTATCTCATCTATTCCATTATTCATACACGAGAAACACAGCCGTATTACGCTGTAATTTGTATGTATTCCTTGTACACTTCTTTGCAGAATTGTCAACCACCACCGCTTTAAATAGACCGATAAGACTAAGGGGCTTTCAAGAGAATAACTACATTTTCTTTATAAATCTGCAAACGCATCTTTCATTCCCCTGATGTTGTAATTGTTCAAGGGCTTCAGTAGTCATCTAAACATCAAGTGAGCTACATACAGGTTTATCACCTTTTATATATAAAAAAATAAGCTCATATACTGTAGATTGAGATGTGTGGAGGGACACACGGGCAGAGGAAGGCCGAATAAAAGATGGATCGATTGTGTGAAGAGTGATATGAGAATGAAAGGAGTAAGTATGGAAATGACGGCTGATAGAGAGGAATGGAACAAGAAGATTTACTGCGCCGACCCCAGATAATGGGAAATGGTTTAGAGAATGATGACTGTGAGATGTGCTGCAGGCACAATACAGACAACGTCCGCCATGTCAACTAGTATTAACACTTTCACTGGTCGATTTGCAGACACAAAATTAAGACAATAGAAATGACCAACATGTGAATCATGGGACAGTTAACGTGTTAAGTTAAAAAATATATCGGCATTTAATTGATTCTGAATTCTGATACACTTACACAATGCAAGGAAGTGAATTGTCAAACGTCAAAACAAAGTCACCACGATTTCCAAGAAAGTTACGCAATTGCACTGCGGACTTGAAAATCAACTATGTATTTGTGGTTAAGCACGAATGTTATCGTTTACTTGAACCTTGGACCCGCAGCGTAGTAGACAGGAGATATAATGATCGCTTAGTAATACCGCTGCCGTCGCAACTTTTCAATCAAATTAAAAACGCATTTTTTGAAACGTGCTTAAAATTGCTTACGGGATCCTTTTAAAATTTTGTTGTAAATTTATTTTCCTCCACTTACAGCAATTATTTATAACTTCATGTATACCGGTATACATGAAGTTACATTTTCGTAAGATGACCATCAATAGATGGAGTGATGACCTGGTGATACACACAAAGAACTGATGGATGTAGGTGTAGGAGGCTTCGATCGTAGTTTGTGACCATCTTTTATTATTTTCATTGCGTAGTGACGGTGTAAGAATATCCGCTACCCCATATCGTCAGTATCGTAAGAGGCGATAGAGGGAAACGCACCAGGAGATGAGTAACAGCATCTTCCAAATAACGACTAAAAATTAAAAAAAAACTGCAATTACTAACCCGCCCGCCAAGAGTGGCGACTATGGAAGATATTAAGACCAATCACCAATTAATAAATAGTGTAAACAGTATTACATAGATTAATAAATAAGAAAAATTCATCCCCTTATGAAGTCGTAAAAGTACAAGCCGACACGTTTCAGTGCTGGTGCCGTGACAAATGGTCCAGGATCTAGATTTATTACAGCTTGCTACAGGCTTTCGCATGCTTGAGTTTAGAACATTTTTGATATACGAGCGTGCAGTGCTTTAACATTTTAAATAGTTTCAAAATTTGTTACACAGACACTTTCAATAGTCATGGAAGATTTATAAGAAATTTTATTTTCTAGATATCTTAAACTTGCAAACCTTCTAGCGACCTAAATCTTCGAGCCAGATTTAAATCTTTTTTTTTCTATGGAAATTAATTTACTTCAAGGTTAAAAATGAAGTAAACAGTGTTGCCACCCTACTTACACCTACACCTAATTTACATAATTGCTTAATTATGTAAATTTAAATTAAAGAGTAACACGGCTTTAAAAAGATCCCAGAATTTTCTTGCCAATTCATATTGGTCTAGTTTTTCCAAACTAATGTAAACCTTAACGTTTTAAAGAGCTTTAGGCAAGCCCAAATTGAAAAAGTCTTGACTTTGACTCTGGGGATTAATATGGAATACGTCATTTACTTTTATTATATCGACTTTTCAAACCGGAAGACAATAGTGCACGCAATTCTACTTAGCGACATTTGTAGGTAAAGGGGAAAAGTGAGTAAGATGGCACCGTACTTTACTTTTAATGAACAATTATTCTTAAGCTCTTAGAAGAACAGTAAAAAAATATTTATTTATTTATTAAATAATTATACCATCATTACAGTTATTAAACCAATGCGATGCTATAACTAACTTAAATATAAGAACACTACTGGCTAATAAATAATGATATCTAAAATGGAATCTATCAACATGATTGTAAAATAAAATACAAATTAAAAAATACAATTTTTAACGCATTTATATGCTGCGTTTATGCTGCAATCATGAATTTAGTCTCTTTGCATGTAAACATTTGTATAACAGATCACCTCCGTTGATCACTAACGTTTTTTTTGTAAATGACGTTTCAGTATCGTGCTTTCGCAAAATGCAGAGAAATTTCTATCAGATTGGCTTACATTCTCTCTATTAAAACTAAAATTACTCTACTCAAATTTCAAGAAAAAATTATTCAACTACATATTTTCGCTGTTGATAATAATCGTACTTGTAATAAGTATTTGCATTTTGCTCTACAGTTCGATGTGTCGTCATAAACAAGAAGTAGGTATGTTGGTTTACATCCCGTCGTCACCGTCACATCAAGCGAGAGATAACTCATTAAACACAAACAAAGTCAATTTTCGTCGACATTTCGAGGTGTAACACAGTTCAAATCTTCATAAGGATAAAAACAATGGCCCCTGCGACAGTAGCGATGTTCGTGATTCAACGCTTTGTTCTCGATTCGTCTTGAAATCTCGATATTATACAACATTCCCTATGTACCACTGCAAGCTTTAAGATTATTACTTTAAAAAAGTTAAACGTTTGATTTCTATTGAAGGAATTTTAACTTTTTTTTAATTCCTTAATATATTTGAATAAAAGGAATACTTTTAATAAGAGTAATAGAAATAGAAGTAATAGTTAAGACACTTATATATACTCTTATTAATTAATAATAATAATAATCTTCCTCCTTTTTTAAGAAATCCTTTACTGTCATTGCTGTGGGTGTGTGAAACTCTTTACCTCTCAACATTATTCGTGCTAAATCTCTTCACTGTTTCAAAAGTCTTGAAGAACGCTGTTAGATAAATTAATTTTCCCTTCTCGTACTATTTTCACTTCATCTATAATATCATATTATATATAATTTTCACTTATCTTTATTTATGTGTATTTTTATTTTTATTTTGTACTCCCTCCTCTATTTTAGCTATTGATAATAATTCATTTTCAATAACTCCGAAATCAACTGCGCGATATCTTATGGTACGTACAGACGTGCTCAAAAATAGCATGCTCATGAGCTTGCTCTGTATCTCTGTTCACATTTGCCAGCAATAAGCACGGTTAAAACATGAGATGTGGTATTTGGCACCAGGCTCTCGGCCGAAATAGATGTACAAAAATATAGTGACAGTGCTATCCGTAGGTACAGAACTTAATAAAATAATCATATTGCTTGCAACCGAATGGTGTAAGAAGAAAAAGCAAAGTTATTTCTTCCCTCCTACGCGACATATCGAGGGTTTTTTTATTTTAAATTGACGCAGAAAATGTCGCGAATCGAAATCGATTCGATAAAACATGCTCAGAAGCAATTCTGTTCAGTTCAGACGCGTTCGGAGCCAATGCCCAAAGCATGCTTTCGTGCTAATAATGAGCACGTCTGTCCGTACCTTTATGATAATTTAAATTCATAAATACTGATGACTTTGTACATTTATTCTCCGTTTATACTATTGTGTTGTCAGCTTTTATTTTATTGTAAAATAACATCACTTAATGTGCCGCACTCCAATTAATGGAACCAACATCAAAGAGAGATGATTTACGATACTCATGACAGTCGCATCTTTTGAGAAGTTTTGGAGAAATACAATACTATTGATTCTCATTCAAAGGGCAGGAAGGGTGGAGGATAAATGTTCTTAGTGAAAAGCTTACAGATATCTTATTTCATATTTTTAAGAGGATTTTATCGAGAAGTCATGAAATCGCAGAGACAATTAAATAAACGAGTGTAATTTTTAAGAATTTTTTCTCACAAAAGAATGAAACAAAAGTATAATAAAATACTGATCTAAAATATTTTTCCGTTTGCAAATTTATGAAAGCTTACATACTGTTACGATACAGGAAAAAAACCTAGGGTTATTCTAACGTTTAATTTAAAAAACATTTAAATAAATATTTTTTTGTAATATTTGAAAACAATTTACTTCAAAATAAAATATTTTAACAAATATATATAATGAAACTTATATTTATAGTGTATATGTTTATATATATATATATATATATATATATATATATATATATATATATATATGTGTGTGTGTGTTTGTGTGTATGTGTGTGTGTGTGTGTATCACTAATCAATTACAAATTTTTTTCTTCAAATTTTACCACATAATTACAATCTTATAAGTATATCCTTTACATAAGATATATGATGCAATGTCGAAGAGACATCGCTTTTGGTGACTCATTATTTACTATTGTGGGGTAACCAACTCCTCTACCTGCACCCGCCCTCTTCTAGAATCGTACAAAGGATTTCTAAACGCAGTTCTAACTCCAGATGTTGTTATTGTAGAATCCCGCCTTGTTAATGACACAACACTATCCGTTCGCCTTTGAATTCTTGAAAACATACTTGTGAAACTGCGTCCCATGATAGGATATCTTATTTCCGGTAACTTATAATAATAAGCATAAATCGCTCCAATTGTAAAAACTACGACAAAGAACATCGAAACAAATATTTTTCCACCCATTCCATATTTGTAGAGAGGAGTTCCGCTAATTTTCGATAGTTTAGCACTTTGAACCCAGTGTTTCTGCATATTATAATCGATTGTATTAACTACTTGTGCACTTGTTCCTTCGTATTCCTTCTTATCGACTACCAATAATTGTACTTTGTTAGGTGGCAGTCTACCAACATGATAATCTAACCTGTTTCTTCCATAATTGTCAACCGTACTTTCAACAAGTTCTTTGAATTCCATTATATCAAAACTTTCATCAACATCGAATGAAATAAAGCCACCACAAATCTTACAACAATGACCAATCGGTTTAATTGGATCGATACAAGTAGGTACTGGGCAATATTTAGAAGAACAATCAATTTTAAGTACGTTTTTCTGACACGGGCACCCTGATCGTGATTGACATTGCTTATTTTCAACAACAACTCCAGTATCCAAAAAAGTGTTAAGAACAAACTGCAGGCTTTCATCTGATTCAGCGCGAATATGGTCCAATAACTTTTTAGTATCGAAGTGCTGTTTACCGATCCGAATATCACTGACATATTGAGTAAGATCAGGTAGCAATATTGTTGACTGAATATTTTCTGGAAATTCCACGACATCATCAAAACACGGAATTTTTTCAGCATCGGGTGTTGCTTTATTGAATTTTGAAGAACTCCATACATCAGGTTGTGCCCATGATGATATCGATTTTTCCATGTAATATACATTTTTTTCTTTACAGTCCCCTTCGTTATTATCAGCACCTAATGTGATAGAGCCGTCCAAGATGATTTCTCCGTCAACAGGTAAAACAAATGATTTAACAGACGTTTCTGATTCAATTTTTACAGATCCCATAAGTCTATCTGGGAAAATGACATTCTGTTTAGAACACGGAAGCTTGCCATCTTTAAAATTAATTGGTAAGTTAAAACTTGTATCCGGCAACCACTTGACTGTTGTTTGCGATGATAAAGAGAATAAAGAAACTATAAAATATAAAAAGTAAAGCATTTTTCAACTAAATGAAAGTTATTACTTTATGATTACTAGTTAGCGAATGTCGACACTGTATCGACAAATTGTAATTAGATAGCCATGTCTGGTCGTTTATCGGTACACTATTTCATGTCAATTATTCACACTATCATTATTAGGAGTGCGTGCAGTTTATGTTTTACATAATTATGTTTTTCGTACCTAGTTTTAAGTTAATGAATAAACATTACAATTTTCAGTAAATTTTAGCACTTTCAAAAGCTTTAATCTGTGGAAGTGCAAATTTATTACATTTTAATTTTAAGTAACGAAGAAGTTAGATCTTGATTCAGTTACTTGCATCTTAGGCTCTCTGGATACTTATAGTTGAGATAGAAATATGAATAAGACACGAGGACTGTGTAAATTTATTATATGTAATAAGTTTATTTTAAGTTATGAAATTCATTTATTTATATTTTCCTTTTTTGTAAATTATTACAATAAGTAAGCTCTAAATTTTATTTTAAGAAGAACGAAATATATAAACAAAAGATTAATGATAATCCACGACCTAGCCTCAAAGAGATCCCTCCGGATTACTATCATCTTGAGACGGCGATAAAAGTCGGCGAAACCACGCACGTTATTAACGTGATATTACATGATACCTTATGATTTATCACGGAATAACACCACTAGGTGGTTAACCACAAACCATTAATGACTTACAGAGGGGTAGAAATTTAATAAGAGACTGCACCCGTGCCAAGGAGCGTAGTTATGCAAATTTTATTGTTGAAAAGCCTTATAATAGAACACACGGTTGCAAATTCGCTTTCTGAAAATTTGTAATTAATTGATTTGAACTATTTCTTATCTTACATTAAAATACTGTTGTTTATAATAATATTTTGTAAACAGGGTAACAGTTTTAGTAGATTCTTTTAGTTTAAGAATTATTGCTACATTTGGGATTAGGATCCTTCAACGAACGAATATTATATTTCTAATGTCAGTGATAAATAAAAAAACATGATACAAATGTGAATACTTCATTACTTTCATATTATTTTAACATCGTTTGATCTAATCGCGTGGGAAATACTCATACCGTTTATAATATAAGTTTATATCATATAGTCTATAACTAATTCCACCACGACAGAAAACGAGAATCATTCTCTGTGATACAGCTTCCATGTAATGAGAACTAAGGAATATACAAATTTAGTACCAGTAACTTGAAGACAGTAGCAATGCGTTCTAATACAAAAACTAAAAATTTATATGTTAACAAATATTTGCCGAAATTCTCGTCCTACATGTAAAAAGAAAATTTTGCGAGAGAGATTTTCAATTTAAGGTCAGAAACGAGTTTTCTTATTGAGCTTATCATAGAGGGTAAGTGTGAATTTCATCACTTATGTTCTCTCTACACCGTAGACTAGTCATCGTTACAGGCCCACTGAAACGCACAATATGGTAGATGGGTAGACAACGCTGCTCAGTAAGTGTTCGGCTTTTATGGTTTGCCGTCGTGAAATTGCAGTGGGGACGCTTTAAATGGATCGCGTAAAGGGCCCACTGAAATGAAGAATACGCACTCCAAGGAAAGTTTTAAGGAGGCGATAATTATAAACCCCTACTGAGACTTCTCTTTAATTAAGCAAACTTTATCATTGTCGGCCTCCGATACCACTATTCAAATTCATTGCAATTATTCTTAAACACTTGGTTATATATTTTAAATTCATTAGCATGTACGTGGCAGAGCAATGCAACACCTATATTGCGGTTATAGCACGATAAAATAAAATAATATCTGGGATTGGTAAACTATGTCAAAAATTTCACTAATGAGGCAATCGATAAGAAAATTAGTAATTGTTTGATATGGTGTAAGCCATTTGTTCGATGTAAGAAAATATTAATGACCAAAAATAAATTAACACCCATGGTGAAAAAACGTTCTCGAGTAGCAACCTCGTACCTGAAAGCAAAGTATACGGTGGTAGCCTTTACCATATTTTGATAATGTGCATTTAATATACTCCGAATATTAATGGTATCATTATCAGCTACGAAACGTTCCAATGTCAAAAACAAGCATTGATTTCCTTTGTGACTAATAAAATAAAATATAAAATCTTTTTTTTAAATGGATGACAACACAGAATGCCGATGGTAAGTAAATGCTGCGGCCCATAGACACCTAAATCTATCCATCGTTTAAGAATTTAAATGTAATTGCGTTGTTACCTATGAGGACTAAGATAGACTGCCTCGTTACTAGAAAGAGGTTCTCCGATTCTCTACACTAAACATACGATACACAGCTGCGTTAAGCTGCTATTCTTCAAGGGCGTAGTTTTACCACATCGTGATAAAGCATTATTTTACAGAAACCATCACAAACCTAGACATTATGTACTTTTGTGTTTTTGCCAGCCAGGTAGCATCTTAATTATAAACTTCTGTGTCAACTATCTTAAAAGTTCTTCCTAATTTAAATAACAAAGATTATAATTGTAAAGTTTTGGCGACTTAAAAAGCTACGGGGGCAGTTCAGACCAAGTTAGTCCATATAAATGATAATGGCGACGTCCTCCACGGAGCCCGTTCTTATGAAAATGTTTTCAATTTAGCAAGAACTGTAATAAGTTAACTAACTTCGGCTCGTTGTAAAATATCACAAGAAAAACTCAAAAGAAATACGTGAACAAGATACAATAGAAGTGATTTTAGAGTATTTTACTTTCTTTATAGCAGAAGGATGACAAACGAGCACACAGTCCACCTGATGGTAAGTGGTTGCTGTGGCCCACAGACATCTACATATATCTTCGATTACGAATCAAAATGAAAATACGTTTTCATCCGTAAGGACTAATATGGAAAGCCTCCTTTCCAGTAAAATGAGTCTACAGTTCTCTACACTCACCATACGAAACACAGCATTGTTATGCTGCTATTTCACGCTGGTATTCTGTGAGAGAGTGGTCCTTCCTCGGTCGATCCGACCCATTCGTGGTACAACTATGCTACTAATATAGCTGCAGTGTGGCTCTACTACTGCAACAGTCTTGATATTTTAAATCCAATACATTTAACAATTTCTCTCTTAACAGTGGTGAATTCAAGAACATATTCATATTTTGGTCCCATGTTTGTCCGTCATTACCGTTACAGCTTGTTAAAGTCCACTGCTGAATGTGGGCCTCCCCTATACATTGCCTTTTGCATTTTGCCATTGCCATAGTGGGGATATTTTTGTCGTTATTACGAGGAAGCTACTGCCCATCTCCTGGGTTGCTTTCCTCTGTCGCCTCTTACTCCGGGATGATATGAGGTAGTGGATATTCTTACAACGCCACTAAACGGGCATTTCTCCATCGTGAGTATTTGACTAAATCTTACAAAAAGGCATCGTCTAATGAATTGTTAAACGGCACATATGTGCACTGTTGTTTAGTTCATATTAAGTAATTAAGACTGATTTCGATAAAATGATATTGCAGATATACCTTTTTTTATTTTGTCTGTAATGCATGCGTCGCAGCCAACCTGTTTGATTAGTTTTCCTTTCAGTTACCAGCCTAGCCTTTTTACTGTTAAATAGCGATCTGAATGATATTCAGCCGATGCATATACGAGGGTGGATTGAAAAGTACTCGGCCTAACCAAGAAAATAAACACATACTAAATCAGTTATATTTTTATTTTTCTACGTAATCACCATCAAGTTCAATACACTTTTGCCACCTCCCCTTCCAAGCATTTAGACCGTTGAAAAAAAATGATTCTTCCTTAGAGTCAAAATATGCGTCTACAGCTGCTTTGACCTCCTCGTTTGTCGAAAATCTTTGACCTCCCAAGTGCTTTTTTAGGTTAGGGAACAGAAAGAAGTCTGATGGTGCCAGATCAGGTGAATACGGCGGATGCGGTAACAGTTCAAAGCCACAGTTGTGAATTTCAGCCATTGACTGTACTGACGTGTGAACACGGGCGTTATCTTGATGAAACAGGACTTTTCTTCTGAGCATTCCTCGACGTTTTTCCTTTATTTCCTCTCGTAAACGACGTAGTAAGGTGCAGTAGTAATCAGAGTTTATAGTCTAACCCCTTTCAAGATAATCAATCATAATCACACCTTTCGAGTCCCAGAATACTGAAGCCATCACCTTATTTGCCGACAAAATCGACTTAGCCTTTCTAGGGGTGGTGAACCAGGTCTTCTCCACTGTTTTGATTGTTGTTTTGTTTCCGGTGTACAGTAATGAACCCATGTTTCGTCCATAGTAACAAAACGATTCAAAAAATCATCTGCATCGGCTTCAAATAACTCCAAACAGTCGCGTGAAATAGTCAATCGCGTCCTTTTTGTTCAACTGAAAGCAGTCGCGGAACCCACCTCGCAGACACCTTGTGGAAACCCAACTCGTTGACAATGATGTTTTGAGTTCGTTCATAAGAGATGCCTATAATTTCGGCTATCTCTCTAATTTTTAATCTGCGGTCTCCCATTATTAAATCAAGTACTTTTTTAATATTTTCGTCAGTAGTTGACGTCGAAGGCCTTCCAGAGCGGGGTTCATCTTTCACACTCTCTCTACCACGCTTAAATTCTGCTATCCATTTTTTGACGGATGAATATGACAGAGCACAATCGCCTAATGTACTGACCATGTCATCATGGATGGCTTTTGATGATAGCCCCTTCTTATGGAGGTACTTAATGACGGCACGCTGCTCGATTTGCTCCATTCGCGGAAATTATGTCCGATTACTTTGTTAATAAATTTATAAAATCACAACTAATTATCGCACACGTTTCGAACTTCACACAATGAACAAGTCTGAACTGAACTAAATAATGT